TGTTCCCTCTCTCGCTATGTCTCTCTCTGTCAAATAAATAAATAAAATCTTTAAAAAAAAAAAAAGTATTTTGAATCCATCCACTTCTCTCCGCCTCCATCATTACACCTAGACCAGACCACCATGATCCCACGTGGACTATGGAACAGGCTTCTAGCTTCCTGTTTCTACCTGTGCCCCCATACATTTTCACCTAGAAGCTACAGCTGTCTTCTTGGAATGTAAAACACATCACCTCCCATCGCTTCTCTTCATTGACTTCCCACAGAACTTAGAACAAATCCACCTCCCCACATGGCCTGCCAGGCCCCTCACAACTGCTCCAGCCTGCTTCCTGGTATCTGCACCTGCTTCTCCCCCTTGTCCTGTACGCACTGGCTACGCTGCTTCCTGAACATACCAGGTCTGAGGGCCTGGGACTTTATAGAGCTGTCACCTCTGCCCAGAGTGTTCTCCCCCAGATCTCTGCATGGCTGGTTCATTTTTATAACTAGGTCACCTCTTCAACAAATCCTTTCCTAACTACCCACTCTCAAATAACCTTTTCGGCCACAACAAAGTCCCTCTGTTTTAGGCTCACCATTGCAGGTATTGTTGTTTTCCCATGTTTTTCTCATGTTTCATGTTTATTTATTTAGTGCCCCCCCCCAACTAGAATGCCTATTGTCCATTTGCTCACCAGTGTACCCTGGTCAAGCGCCTGCCCAGAACTGTCAACTGAATGAAAGAATGAATGAAAACATCTCATAGTTCGTGTAGGTACTCATGATTAAAAATTACAAAAGAACCCTCGTACTTTCTCCAGTCCTTCTTGGGAACTGAAGGATAAGGGTGAATGTAGTCACCCAGGAAGCATCATGCTTGTCTCTAGGACACGTGTCTTAGTCTGTTAGGGCTGCCATAAACTGGATAGTTTATAAACAACAAACATTTCTTTCTCACTGTTCTGGATGGAGGCTGGGAAGTCCAAGATCAAGGTGCTGGCAGATCCAGTGTCTGATGAGGGCCCTCTTCTTGGTTCATAGAGAGCTGTCTTATTGCTGTGTTCTCACATACTGGAAAGAGCAAGGAGATCTCTGGGAACTCTTTCATCAGGGTACTAATACCATTCATGAAGGATCCACCCTTAAGACTTAATCACTTTCCAAAAGGCTCCACCACCTGATATCATCACATTGGGTGTTAGGATTTAATGCGAATTTGGGGGAGACTCAAATGTTCAGCTATAGCCACATAAGAGCCCTTAAGGTCAAGTTCAGGGCTTCCTTGTCTATATTATGTTTTCGAGGACACAGATTGACCTCCATGCTAATGCTTTTTTTAAAAATGGGGCTGTCACTGAAGGGTAGTGTTGAAAGGCTGGAGTCAATTATCAGGTAGGTGCTCACCTGTTGTGAAATCTTGGACAGGTGACCTTAACCTTAATGTGCCTCAGTTTCCTCATCTGCAAAGTGGAGATAAGCTTACTCCCAAAGGATTGTGGAGAGAATTAGGGTAATATATATGACGCACTCAGAGCAGGGCCTGGTAAACAGAAGGCACTCAATAATCGTTCCCTCTTTCTTCTCAGGAAAACCAGGCATGGCAATTCCCTGCAGACTCGGACCATCTCCACTGCCACTCTAGACTTCATTCAGCATCTTCCAAATTTTGGCCACGGTCTTGGCTTCTCTTGTGACAGCAGAAGATCACAACCTTCATGCACAGGGGTGGTAGATACAGGGCCACCCACCCCGTGAATTCTTCCGGTGTCTTAAACATCTATGTTCTTCTAACTTGCCAGATGCCAGAGAGCATGAAACCAAGTCCTGAAACACACAGAGAATACCAACCTCTATTTGAATAAACTGAACCAAGTACTTTTGATCTTATGGTCAAATCTACTGCCTCAAAATTGTTCATCTGAAATGTTCTGCTAATAAGGGAATCGTGGTTTGGGATAGTAATAGCCAATAGAATTTTTTTTTTCTAGTTAAAATTATTTATGTCTAAGCTGTTGGAGCAATTCTAGACAGATCGAGTTCTTGTTTAGAGCACATTTACCATGGCATTCAGTATTAATGTTCTCTAAGAGAATGAAATTAATAAATCAATCTGGATAGGAAAAGAAGAGCTATCCAGGGACTTTTTCAATAAAGGCAGGCTTGGTCAAGTTCTAGTTCATCAAGATCAAACGTAGTTCTAACAGCTAGAAAAATAATTATTCATGAGGATAGAAAATACAATAAAAGTAGAACTCAGGGTGTATAAAATCAAATTATAATATCTATAAAGGTTTACTGATTTTGGTGGCTACATGCTCCCAGCTGTACATATTCCTATGAAGATTAGCTTATTCAAAGGAACAAATTGGAAATATTTTTAAAAATAGAGGTGTTATATAACTGAGACACAATTCTGAGATCCTAAATATATGCTCTTCCTCTGCTGGCTTCTCCACATTCTATATTCATGGGTCATCCTGGCTAAAACACTGATAACCTAGTTTTCAACAAAAATGTGCAGGTTAGATTAATTCGATGCTAAAGAATTAGAACTGTTTAGAAATTTTATGTTTTTAAGATGTTGCACCAAGTAGAAGAAAACAGAAAAACAGAAAAACAAACAAACCTACATTATCTTCTGATTTCCAAAAATAAACACTGAAATTTTATTGGAAAAAAGAATCTCAGAAAACTCCAAATCAACCCAACTGAGATTCTGAATTTTACACACACACACACACACACACACACACACACACACACACACACATTGAAACGCTATACACTGCATTTCACTCATTGCTGGAGGACATTCTCCAAGTGTCAGTAGAAAGAACATTTACACACATGACAGAGGCATGTTTGAAACCTTTTATTGAACAGGCAATGCATTGTGCAATGGTTAAGGACACAGATGCCTTGTGGAAAAGTCTAAAAATTATTTTTGGAAACAGTCTGTGAATTGATGAACCCGGCTATGTTCCATCCACTCCTTCTTAGAGTGACTATCTTCAGGAAGACGGTTTTATAGCTGCTCTTGGAAATGGCATCCCTGTTTTACCAAAAATGTCATGCCTTATAGTAAACATGAAAGAAGACGGGATCCACAGGCAAGACGAGAACCGGAGACACAGGTTGATCTCGGGTGGAAGCAGAGACACACGTTCTCCTGGAAGACCTTCTCCTCTGACCTGGCAGGCGCTCCTGACTTTGGCATTCATGGTTCACTCCCACTCTCTTTCTGTCCAAGCCCTCTTTATCAAGGCAATTCTCAAAGACTCACATTCATACCTTTGGGCACAGGACCTTGTTCCTGGCCCTTTTCAATGGTGTTCTTGTTTTAGGGCACCTTGGGCCCAGGATTGTGGCTGTGTGTGTGTCTTTGTTGGCCTGGTTCCCTCCTCTTCCCCAAGCTTGTTCTCCCCTAACTTGACGATAAAGTCACTCTTCAGTTTCACAGTTTGTTTGCCTTGATTTACTGGCAGTTTTTAACTCAGTGACCCGTCAAGGTAGTGGACATTCTTTAGCAGCAGGCTGTCAGCCTATTTTATAATCTGGGGCATGTCACTCCAAGCTTGCGATTTCTTTCTGGCAAGTTCCATCCAGGATGGCTGATCTGCACTGGCGTAACTGGCTCTCTTCATCTGATGCAATTCTTTCTCCGTCATCACTGCAGACTGAGCTGCTGGAAAGAAGACAAAACAAACAGAAACATGAGAAATGAGTTTGGATTTCCACTTAAGCCTCTTGTGTTTCTTTAAAATATACGTCAAGGTCTTAACTGTGGTCTCAAACATAAAATCCATTAATGTGTAAACATGTAAAGAAAATTTAGGCATAGAATAATTTATGTACTAAAGCGACTTCAGAACAGCAGGCTCAAAAACAGTTCCAGCAACGCAGTGAGGTGAGAGAAACTTCCAGAATAAAACTGTGGGAACTCTGGAGATCGATTTGCACCACAGTGTGAATATTCTTAACATTGCCAAACTGTATACTGAAGAATGGCTAGGATGGTAAATTTTGTTTTATATATTTTACCACAATGAAAAATAAATTTAAAAATACTGATGCATGTGACAACAGAGACGAATCTCGAAAACAATATGCTTGGTCAAAGAAGCCAGATACAGAAGAACACATATTTTATGACTCCATTTATGAGAAATGTCCCCAAAAAACAAGTAATGTAGAGACAGAAAGTAGATTAGTGGTTGCCTAGCCCTGGGGTCGTGAACACTGAATAACTGTAAATGGGCATGAGGTTTTTTTTAGGGTGAGGGAAGTGTTCTAAAATTGGATTGTGACAGTTGTACAAGTCGGTAAATATATTCTCACTGTCAATAGATACTCGCTGAGTTGTACACTTAAAACCAGTGAGTTTTATGGCCCCTAAACGACGTGTCAGTAAAAGCTGTTTAAAAAATCAATGTGGCAAAGTAATTTGGAAAAAGAAAAGAAAACCAAAAAAAGCAGGACCAATCCCGGAAACGTATTTCAAAGTGTTTGGTACTGCTTGCAGGCTTCATACCCAAGTTCTGATGGGACAACGAGATTCCTCTTTGCAGCCCCTCCTGGAGGCAGAGCTTTGTCCCCTGCCTCCGGTCCACAGTGGGCCTGGCAGGAGCCACCAGGAAAGACTTGCTGCGGACGAAGTCAGCTTGCTTCATGGGCTCCTATTAAGACACAAGAGAGGGGCGCCTGAGTGGCTCAGTCGTTAAGCGTCTGCCTTCTGCTCAGGTCATGATCCCGGGGTCCTGGGATCGAGCCCCAC